GAAACGTCACACACTATTTATTTGGATTTGGTCTTATTTACCTTATGTTTATTAATCTATAATCCAAATTGTGCCTTATCAAATGACTATAAGGTAAGTCAAACCTCGCGATAATAATGTCACTTGGAACCAAGATTTTAGGTGAGTTGTTATAACTGTGTGTTTTTACTATAACCTCAGTTAAAACAACCTAGGGGCATTAACCTTGAGAATTATGATATTAACACCAAGTCGCTGTTATAATGAGACTGTACATCAATTCTCTGATGTATGTATGAGAATAAAATTCAAAACTATTTTAAAGGCGTAAGATTCTTTTTTGAAATTAAACAATTTCTACTGCCCTTACTGCAATGGAAAAATTAAAGGGAGGGCCTGGCTCATCAGTGATGAACCCTCCCAGGGTTAAACTGGCGAAACCGCTGGGAGGGTTCACCACTGATGAGCCAGGCCCTCCCTTTAATTTTTCCATTGCAGTAAGGGCAGTAGAAATTGTTCAATTTCAAAAAAGAATCTTACGCCTTTAAAATAGTTTTGAATTTTGATAACAGATGGCGCGCTAGTAAATGATATATGAGAATAACAGCAGTAAACTATCCTGAGAAGAGTTGAAGAGTTATTTTAAGTCAAAGTGGGGTGATACATATCCCTGGTGGATAGAAACCAACTGATTCATACTGCAAGTGCAGGATTACATATGTAGAAAGCGTGCAGTTCAACATTTGCACTTACAACTGTGCCAGAGAGCCCCATTTGGTTACTTGTACTCACTGGTGAGGTTGGACTTTTGCAAGAATCGTGATCCCATGAAGCATTTTTTTTAGAAGCCCAATGAAGGTTTCAACCACGGGTTGTGACTGTCAAAAATCGAAGTTTATACCACTCCCCCCACCATGTCAAAGTTAAAGACAAAATTAAAACTATCACAGAAATAGGAAAAATCTACTAAATATAATAAGAACATAGTGATCTAGATATCTTAAGAGCTTTAGATTTTGGATAGAACTGCTGATGTTAGAAAACTAGGACTTGTGTGAGTTTTATAAGAAGCTGTTACAAATAAGAGATGTGAGGCCCAGCTGATAGTAGGGATACAGAATGTACTCCATGTTAGGAGTACATGGCGTCTGTTCCTCATGTCAGAGGCGGTCATTTCATATTGGAGCTAAGTCAGTGGCCTGCTACTGAGTAGTTCTCCCAGTCTTAATGACCAAAACAGACACATTCTATTTTTTTTTGCTTATCCCAGGTGGGTAGAAGAAGGTGACTGCTTTTACTGTAAGTGCACCACATGTCTACACATGTGAAAAGCAATTCGACATTGCACTTACAAATGTGCCAGAGCCCCGTTTGGTTATTTGCACTTGCTGGTGGGGTTGGACTTTTGCAAGAATCGGGGGCCATTGGAACATTTTTTTAGACACATTCTACTTCACACTATTGAGATTGATACTCTAGAGATTGGAGATAAAGAAGATGTGAGTCTTACATTGCCCAGAGGGTTGTTGGAAGGCAGGGGCCTAAGGAAGAGCTTCAACTCGTACTTGTCCCGGACCCAGCGTTCCTTGTCCTCCCTGGGTGCAGAGGGTCCGGGGCGCTGGACACCGAGGGGCAGCCTGGCCTCCCACATGTGGTTGGCTGTTTGGTTGCCGAGGGCTCGAAGGACTTCCAAGTGTTCAGGCCTGTGTGTACATACAGACATTGTGGGTGTTGTTGCTGTAGCAGGGGCTGTGGCTACTCACGGCCAGTCATCCAGGTCCAAAGACCTCACCCTGGAGATGTGGGCCCCCATGTTGCGGTGGAGTCCGGAGCAGTCAATACACATCAGGGCTCCTAGGTTCAGGCTGGCCCAGTCCGGGTCTGGATCAAACAGTCCATCCTCTGTCCCACTTGTGCCACACATGTGAAGTTATATCTGTACTATAGATTAATAAATAAAATTGCTTCTAGGGATGACTTTCTTGCTTTATTATAAACACAAGGTAATAAGACCAAATCCAAATAAATAAATAGTGTGTGACATTTCGGTAACAGAGTTGTTACCATCTTGTTACTGGTAACAACGCTGTTCCCGAAACGTCACACACTATTTATTTATTTGGATTTGGTCTTATTACCTTGTGTTTATAATCTATAATCCAAATTGTGCTTTATCAATTTGCTTTATTATATATTTTCTTCTCAAGATTTTTTTTAAAAGTACTTTTGATAAGCCACAATTGGGGGGGGGGGGGGAGAAGTCTGACCACATCTCCCTGCGGTTCCCCCTGGACCCTTGGAATATTTGGCCAAATTCTGGTTCGTTTCTAAGGTGACTAACATGGCGTGAAGAGCAAATGGCCGCAGCCTTGCAGAAAATTAACATAGACCCAGAGCAGCAGCTTTACACACCCAAGATAGTGGACATTGCTGCTGCTGTGATAGAGATGTATGGAGACATCTGAAGCTCTTCATTGGACACGACAACAACATAAGGCACAATTTGAATTATAGATTATAAATACAAGGTAATAATAAATAGTGTGTGACATTTCGGTAACAGTGTTGTTACCATCTTCAGACAAAAGTACTGAATGGTACTGAAAGTTAAATCCTCTGCAATATATAAAGTTTAATAAATAAAAGGGTTTCTGAGAATGAGTTTTTATTTCTGTATCCAAACCTTTATATAAATTTACAAACACTTGACATTGAGTTCAACTTTTACCTGAAAATGGCAACAATTGGCAGCTATAAGTTTTGGTGAAAAAGAATTGAAGAAACACAAGGCAACAAGACCAAATCCAAATGAATAAATCCGCCCATTGAGACAAAACTTAAGGAAGTTGCACCTTTTAGCATGTATATCAGTATTCAGACAATAACTCTGAAAGATTATAAACACAAGGTATTAAGACCAAATCCAAATAAATAAATAGTATGTGTATTCAGTACTTTTGTCTGAAGATGGTAACAACACTGTTACCGTAACGTCACTCACTATTTATTTATTTGGTCTTATTACCTTGTGTTTATAATCTATAATCCAAATTGTGCCTTATCAACTCTGAAAGATATTTGATATACAGTGACCCTGATTGAAAAGAAACGAGATAACCAAGTGTAAAACGACACTTGAAGTTTCACTGCATGAGTTTCTTTTAATGAAAAATCAAATTTTTATTTCAAGGTGAAATATCAACCATTTCTAACCTTTTTGGATGAGGTATGAAAGGATGAACTATGAAAAGTAATGATGAACGGAAAAATAAAAGTATCCAGGGATGAGGATCCAAAAGGTTAGAAATGGTCGATATTTCACCTTGAAATAAAAATTTGATTTTTCGTTAAAAGAAACTCATGCGGTGAAACTTCAAGTGTCGTTTTACAATCACAGGCCACAGTGTATTATATTATAACCAAGTGTGAACAAAATTGCCTCTGATCTTCTTTAAAACCAGCGTCATCAAAGACCTTCCACTACCTTAAGTTGTCCATGAGTGTAAATCAAGGCACAACACTGTGATACTTACTAGGGGCACCACAGTCCACACAGTGGGAGTTGCCGGGGATGGAGCCTCGGACTGTCTGAAGAACCTCGTCACTCAGGGATGTCTGGTCAACAAGGTGTTACAATGTTGGGAGATGTATTTGACCATTACACCATTGGCACATTTTAGCTACAACTTACAGCAAGAGATTACAAATTTATGAATAAAAAAGAAGGGGTAGGTGGAAGGATGGTCTAAACCATTGGTTTTCAACAGCTGCAACCCAGGATCGAATCCTGCATTGGGCACTTTTTCTAATTGAAAAAAAAAAAAAAATAATAATAATAATGCTCTAATGACCCCCGATTCTTACAAAAGTCTGTTGTTGTTTCTTATCCCCTTGTGTAAAGATTACACCAATTCCATGAGTCCATGATCTCATGGAATGAGGTATAGGGGTGCAGTTTTCATTGATGATGGCACCATGATCCAGGCACACTTTGGTGAAAGTCTGACTTTGCCTGTAATTTGAGGCTGTTCCTAACATGGAAGCCTTTGCTGCTGACTCTAACATGAGTACAGACACAGCTCCTCTGTATCCCTGGAAAGACACCCTTACAAAAGTCTAACCCACCAGTGAGTGCAAGTAACCAAACGGTGCTCTGGCACATTTGTAAGTGCAAAAGTCGTTTGCTTTTCACATGTGTAGACATGTGGTGTACTTACAGTAAAAGCAGTCGCCAACTTCTACCCACCATAATTATCATGGCTGTACCATGTGTACTAGGGATAATTAAAAAAAAAAAAGAAAAAAAAAATCCTGAACAACCAACTGATATATTGGACTAAATGTTTTAGTTTCAAAATATAAATTTAAAACATATTGAAAAAAAAAAACGTTTAAATTTTTTAAAGTGAGCCACGCTTCTCCCCAGCTATTACAATTAACATTTTACAAGCTCATGCTGCTCCTCTACCATAGGTGCTAATGGTATGGTGAGGGACTGAGGAAATGCATCGCTAGAAACTGATGAGAACCAATGAGCAGTAGAATCCAAGCTCAGGCAAAGTCAGACTTTCACCTAGTGTGCCATGGTGCCAAGTTCAATGAAAGCTGCACCTCTATTCCATGAGATCACAGCTTGAGGAGCATGGACTCATGGAATTTGTGTAATCTTTGTACAGGGACAACAGAAAATACAAGCTACACATCATTAAAGGGCCAAGTGTATATTAAAAAAAAGGTGTATTACTGTTAATTACATTTAAATAGTAGCGAAAAATCTAGAAGAGTTGGTAGTACCTTGTGTTTGGTGGAGTCCCCAGAGAGGCTGTTGAGGATCTGCTGTTCTATGGCTGTGATCCAGGCTTCTCTGTCCTACGGTGGTGGACCACACAGTTTGCTGTTAGTCTGGTCCTGTATAGAAGTCCCATTAAAGAAATCTCAGTTTATTAAGAAATAAAACCTGACCATGGGGGGATCAAACCCACAACCTTCATGTTATTAGCACGATGCTCTTACCAAGAGAAGGCCCATTAACTCAGTTGGTTAGAGTGTCATGCTAATAATGCAAAGGTCTTTGGTTCAATCCCCACATGGGCCACTGAATTCATTCAGTACTTTTATCTGATAATGGTAAACAATGCTGTTACTGAAACATCACACACTATTTATTTATATTTGGTCTTATTACCTTGTTTTTCTAATCTATAATCCATTCTTATGAGTAAAGAAAAATAGGTAAAAAAGGTAATAAGGCGCAATTTGGATTATAGATTATAAACACAAGGTAATAAGACCTAATAAATAAATAGTGTGTGACATTTCAGTAACAGCGTTGTTACCATCTTCAGACAAAATTACAGAATGGTTCATTTCAATTCATTCAGTACTTTTGTATGAAGATGATAACAATGCTGTTACAGAAAGGTCACACACTATTTATTTATTTGAATTTGGTCTTATTACCTTGATGCAAAAAAAGATCTAATTAGGTGAGTCGGTGGTGTAGAGAGACAGTGGTTGAGTTAGATCCAAAATAAGTCAAAGTGAATAATTAAAAAAAAAAAAAAATTATAAAGCACAATTATTGATTATAGCTACGAGAAAATTTCCACTTGTAATTCTAAGAATAATATTTTAGGTTATCTTATAAAACTATTTTTTTCTCTTATCTGTTATCTTGTTTACAAGCTTGATAATAGTACTATTTATGAACATTGCTGTGATATTTTTTTTCTCATTTATTCTTTTGTCTGATGATGGTAACAACACTCGAAATGTCACACACTTTTAATTTAGTTAGATTAGATCTTATTTTCTTGTATCTAAAAAAAAAAGATTAAAAAAATAAAAGAGATGTTCAGTCTAAAAGAAAATAAGACCTAATCCAAATAATTATTAGTGTGTGACGTTTCGGCAACAATATTGTCACCATCATGAGACAAAAGAATTTTTTTTTTATTCTTTTGTCTGATGGCGACAATGTTGTTACCGAAACGTCACACACTAATAAATTATTTGGATTAGGTCATATTTTCTTTTATTTTAATCTATTATCCAAATTGTGCTTTATCACAGAGGTTCAGTCTAATTAAAAGACAGGAGCTGAGGGGGAACTCTCACCTCGTAGTTGGCGGCTTCAAACTGCCACTGCTTGTTGTCCAGGGACACAATCATGAACTCGTAGCCGTCTGAGTCTGTGGACAAACAGTGAATTGTAATGGCCGACAAATATGGCAGTTTGGGGGGGAAAGAGAGAGAGACATCCTAGCTGACACTATAATTTATTTTGAAAAAAAAAAATTCCCTGTGAAATCTTTGTTTTGTTAGCAAACACAAGGTAACAAGAACAAATCTAAGTCGGCTTGCCACTGAGTAGTGCTCCCAACCTTAATGACAAAGGCAGACACATTCTACTTCACCCAGGCTTGATGGTTGTCAAACAAGCTTGATACCCTAATATAATTAGGTGGAGATAAGAAAGAAGAAGAAGACAAAAACATATATGAAAAAAACCAAAGAAATAGTGAATGACATTTTGGTAACAATGCTGTTACCGAAACCATCACACACTATTTATTTGGATGTGATTTTATTACCTTGGGTTTCCGATCTTTAATCCAAATTGGTATCATATCTGTTATCATTAATTGTAGGATCAGAAGTTTCAAGTGTTCAAAGAGATGGCTTCTCAAAACCTTTCTCTCTTTAGTGCTAACTGTGATAATGGCCAACACTGGAGTATAACAACATAGTAATACATTGGGAGAGGCTGCTGCTTATCATAAAACAGTTCGAGGAGCATGAACTCATGGAATTTGTGTAATCTTTACACAGGGGAATAAGAAACAACAATAACATAGCTGCAATGCCTGCTACAATCTCCCCTCTCTCACTGGGTAGGACACTCACCATCTATTCCATCAGCATTCTTCCCTCCGATACTCTTCATCCTACGGTGGCGTTTCTTGGTGGTGGGGGTATCATGGCCTAGGAGGTGGGGTACTACTGCCATCTGTCACAGACAGGATAGGTCAGCAACATTAGGTCACATACAAACTGACATAGCCATGGTCAGGTCACATACAGACTGATATGGACATAGTCAGGCCACGTACAAACAAGGTCAGACATAGTCAGGCCACATACAAACAAGGTCAGACACAGTCTGGCCACATACAAACAAGGTCAGACACAGTCAGGCCATATACAAACAAGGTCAGACATAGTCAGGCCACATACAAACAAGGTCAGACACAGTCAGGCCACATACAAACAAGGTCAGACACAGTCTGGCCACATACAAACAAGGTCAGACACAGTCAGGCCACATACAAACAAGGTCAGACATAGTCAGGCCACATACAAACAAGGTCAGACATAGTCAGGCCACATACAAACAAGGTCAGACACAGTCTGGCCACATACAAACAAGGTCAGACACAGTCAGGCCATATACAAACAAGGTCAGACACAGTCAGGCCACGTACAAACAAGGTCAGACACAGTCTGGCCACATACAAACAAGGTCAGACACAGTCAGGCCACGTACAAACAAGGTCAGACATAGTCAGGCCATATACAAACAAGGTCAGACATAGTCAGGCCACATACAAACAAGGTCAGACACAGTCTGGCCACATACAAACAAGGTCAGACACAGTCTGGCCACATACAAACAAGGTCAGACACAGTCTGGCCACATACAAACAAGGTCAGACACAGTCTGGCCACATACAAACAAGGTCAGACACAGTCTGGCCACATACAAACAAGGTCAGACACAGTCAGGCCACATACAAACAAGGTGAGACATAGTCAGGCCACGTACAAACAAGGTCAGACACAGTCTGGCCGCATACAAACAAGGTCAGACACAGTCAGGCCACATACAAACAAGGTCAGACACAGTCTGGCCGCATACAAACAAGGTCAGACACAGTCAGGCCACATACAAACAAGGTCAGACACAGTCTGGCCACATACAAACAAGGTCAGACACAGTCAGGCCACGTACAAACAAGGTCAGACACAGTCAGGCCACATACAAACAAGGTCAGACACAGTCAGGCCACGTACAAACAAGGTCAGACATAGTCAGGCCATATACAAACAAGGTCAGACACAGTCAGGCCACGTACAAACAAGGTCAGACATAGTCAGGCCATATACAAACAAGGTCAGACACAGTCAGGCCACGTACAAACAAGGTCAGACATAGTCAGGCCACATACAAACAAGGTCAGACACAGTCAGGCCACATACAAACAAGGTCAGACATAGTCAGGCCACATACAAACAAGGTCAGACACAGTCAGGCCACATACAAACAAGGTCAGACACAGTCTGGCCACATACAAACAAGGTCAGACACAGTCTGGCCACATACAAACAAGGTCAGACACAGTCTGGCCACATACAAACAAGGTCAGACACAGTCAGGCCACGTACAAACAAGGTCAGACATAGTCAGGCCACATACAAACAAGGTCAGACACAGTCAGGCCACATACAAACAAGGTCAGACACAGTCTGGCCACATACAAACAAGGTCAGACACAGTCAGGCCACATACAAACAAGGTCAGACACAGTCAGGCCACATACAAACAAGGTCAGACACAGTCAGGCCACATACAAACAAGGTCAGACATAGTCAGGCCACATACAAACAAGGTCAGACACAGTCAGGCCACATACAAACAAGGTCAGACACAGTCTGGCCACATACAAACAAGGTCAGACACAGTCAGGCCACATACAAACAAGGTCAGACACAGTCAGGCCACATACAAACAAGGTCAGACACAGTCTGGCCACATACAAACAAGGTCAGACACAGTCAGGCCACATACAAACAAGGTCAGACACAGTCAGGCCACATACAAACAAGGTCAGACACAGTCAGGCCACATACAAACAAGGTCAGACACAGTCTGGCCACATACAAACAAGGTCAGACATAGTCAGGCCACATACAAACAAGGTCAGACACAGTCAGGCCACATACAAACAAGGTCAGACACAGTCTGGCCACATACAAACAAGGTCAGACACAGTCTGGCCACATACAAACAAGGTCAGACACAGTCTGGCCACATACAAACAAGGTCAGACACAGTCAGGCCATATACAAACAAGGTCAGACACAGTCAGGCCACATACAAACAAGGTCAGACACAGTCTGGCCACATACAAACAAGGTCAGACACAGTCTGGCCACATACAAACAAGGTCAGACACAGTCTGGCCACATACAAACAAGGTCAGACACAGTCAGGCCATATACAAACAAGGTCAGACACAGTCTGGCCACATACAAACAAGGTGAGACATAGTCAGGCCACATACAAACAAGGTCAGACACAGTCTGGCCACATACAAACAAGGTCAGACACAGTCTGGCCACATACAAACAAGGTCAGACACAGTCTGGCCACATACAAACAAGGTCAAACACCTACTGAGTTGCAGGTTGCCGAGGTCAGTTGCCAGGTCAGAGCTGGGACTCCCACTTCCCATGCCACGCGGCCTCTGCCCTGGGACTTTGACTGTGGTGTGGACTAGGGGGATGTCCTTGCCATGGACATCATCCATGTACTCCTGGACATTGCCATATGTAGTAATATATAATATTGTACTTGAAGTTTTGATGCAAATAATATTATGATTGAGTTAAATAAATTTTAAATATTTGCAGAGTTTCTTTATTAAGGTATGGGAGGCAAGCTTTCACGCGGTTGCGCTTCATCAGGCCACTGGCTCCGCAAATGCGTGCTATAGCTGTAGCACGCATTTGCGGAGCCAGTGGCCTGATGAAGCGCAACCGCACGAAAGCTTGCCTCCCATACCTTAATAAAGAAACTCTGCAAATATTTAAAATTTATTTAACTCAATCAATATATACTATATTTACATATGTAACACACATAATTATAGCGTAACAGCCCCAAAATGTAGATACAATTCAACTAGCCAGTTTGGCCATAACAGGATAATAAAGTTTGATTGAGAGCCCGCCACGCCAAAGACAGGACAAAGGGTCTCCGATTACAGAAGTCATTAGTTTGTTTTACTTTCATCCCCTCACCGATAAACACAG